TGTTTGAATCTAATTTTGAGGAGAATAGAAATTTTGGAATAGTGATTGATGTGAGAATGTGTGGTGGAAAAGTGATGAAAAGTTTTTGATTTGTGTGTAATATTATTTTATTTGAAGAATGTGTGGTTGAAATGAAAAATGAGAATGAGAATGGGAATGAGAATGAGAAATTAATGGGTGGCTAACGGGGCCTTGTGGTAATTTTTTTTATTGCCCAATTGCAAATAGCATTATTCATGATTTTAATCAAAATCTCCCTGAATTTGGGAAGGTGCCAATTCTGCAGCGGATTGAAGCTCTAGATTGGCTTCGTGCGCAGAGCCATCAGCTTCTTCCTCGATGTTTCTTCTCTGGTCGCAATCCAAGCAATGTCGACTGCATCGAGAATGGCAGCACTTCAAATGAGCATCAACACAAGCTTGTCAGTGTTGCCGGGATAGGTTCTGCAGTGTTCTTTCGCCACCTCCATCCATTCTCGTTGGACGATTGGCGCGCCATAAAAAGGTGCAGTCTTTACGAGTAATTCACATTTTTTTCCTGGCTTTAATTGGGGCAATTTAATACTAGTAATGGATTTAATATAGTTTTTGCTGTAGCGGTTATTTCTCTAATTGACTATCAGAATGAATAATTCCTAGAAATGATTGCTGGCTAGGTCTTGAATAAGATAGATGTGAATGTTGTAATCAGGAGTTGAATAGGCTTCTTCTGAATCCTGAATTTCGTACACAATTATTCTTGCGTTTGGATGCCAAAGGAAACGCGAGGGAAATGGGTGTACAAGTATAATCAAGAGTGGCATTTTTGCAATTATTAATTTGGTTATGTTTACACAAGAAATTCTAGATTTACCTATTTTTCTTTTCTTCATGATGAACCATGGATCCAAAGGGATCCTTAGAGTTGCATGTTTTAAGGAAACAAGATAATTACTGTTTATCTTAATGTTATTGAATGGTGTTTCACGACCAGTTGAAGAAGTGAAACCCTCCATTCTATCCCTTACTCATCATTGATATATTGGAAAAAGCAATGGATGGATCAATTAGAAAACATTGTTTCTTAAAATTTAGAGCAGTTTTTAGTTTTTATGTCAGCACCGGTCAGGTTTCACCTAATAGCAAAGCAAGCACAGCATTTGCCAAAAGTAGTAATGCTGGATGATTCAGCTAAGAGTAAACTTGAATGTGGTAAATTACTTTATCAGAGACAATCAGAACCATGATGAACTTCAGATTCCTAATAGGGGGTTTTTGTTAATCAAAGGTTCTTATCCAAGAAGTGTCCACTGATTCGTGCTTATGGGGCTATCCGCTTTGATCCGATGGCTAATATAGCTTCTGAATGGGAAGCTTTTGGTTCATTTTATTTCTACCAAGGAGTCCATTATTAAAAAACTTTCTTTCTAGGGAAGTACTGCTATCATTCTATAGTGTATGAAGGCGTGTCTTTCGTTTGTATATAAGCAACCTGTTGCTAGATACTAAATGCAGGTTGAATTTGATGAGTTTGAAGGAAGTTCAATGATTGCTGCAACGGTTGCATGGGACAGTGCCCTGTCATGGACATATAGAAAAGCAGTTTCTTCAGTTGAGGCTACAATATGGCAGGTCTGATTCATCCTATTTGCCCAGTCATTTTTTATTTGTATTATTGTTTTTCTGTACTCAATATAATACTACCTTGCAGGTTTCTTCTGCTGTCAAGAGATTAAATAAAGACACTCCTCAGGCTATTGTGCTCAGCCAGGCACATATTCCTAATAAAATATCATGGGATTCAGCCGTTAGGCGAGCCTTGGACATGATAAACAGGAAAAACTCAATGCTAATAAAGGTTGTATATTTAGATAACCATCACTTTGGAATCCTTCGTTTTGTTTATAGGACATGTATGGTTATGATAGAAACTAGAAATGGAGATTAAATGATGAAAGATGGGTAACTAGAGCTATCAACTTTTTTCTGGAAACTACAATTGAAGTTCTCGATGATTTTGTTTAACATTATTAATTTTTTCTTCTTCCAGTAAAGAGTTCCTATATCCCTCAGCTCTAATTTCATTCTCTTTCTCTGGGAAATAAAGGTTGTGCTTGCACGTAGCAGCAGAGTACTGACGACAATAGATATTGACCCTTTAATGTGGCTGTCATGCTTAAAGGTATTCATGACTCTTACAATTTAATTTTGAGTTTAACTCATTTGATGGGTGATATATGGGATGTTTACTATTATGCTTAACCTTATAGATTGAAGGGGACAGTTCCTATGCCTTTTGTCTTCAGCCTCCTGAATCTCCTGCATTTATTGGTAACACTGTGAGTAAAATTATGATCCTCTCAATTAGAAGAATGTGAAAATCCATTTTACGTTTTGCACTTTCACTTCCAAAATACTCTCAGTTATAAATCAGAAATAATAATCAATTTGCTCTTTTGCCTATTTACTTCTGTTAGTGTCAACTTTTTGCTTAGCATCAGAATACATATGATAAGAGTGACTTATCTGAAGATTTATTGAGTAGACTTAGAGATAGTAATTTGAAGTCATTTTAAGTTGTGACATGGCAATGATGTGTCAATGTCATTATTAGAAATATGAAATCAAGATAATATCCTGCAAGTGCTTAAGTTTTAAATGCGTCTATGCATTTTCCCGAATTTTGGCAACTATAAAGCCATATCAATTTATTTGTCATTCTATGAATTTGGAAGCAAAGTATAAGCATAATGCAGCATTTTCTTTTTCCTCCTTTATTGAGGGAAAAAGGTGGGTTATTAACATGGAATTGACTTTTGTCAAGAATTCAGTAGACAATTTAATCATTGACACTATTACAATGACAACATTATTTTTGCGTGTTTGTGTATTATGCTAGTCTATAAGTGGAGAATGATTATGTATTCATGGACATTTTTCTCACAAATATTGATGTAAACGATCACACCATGCTGTGATACACTGATAATAAATTTTCTAGAAAATGTACAAAAAGGAGATTTAAATATTTACGACATAGATCCTTCAGTTGAGTAGTTAAAATTTGAAAATTAGAATAGGTTACTATAGGAATTTCCTTGAAATTCAAAAATTTGAATATCTATATGCCAAGTTCATATGCTGGCTGTAAAATTATTTAGATAATGCATCATTATTTGCTGGACCCAAATTTTGTCTAGTTTTCACAGAGTTCTTTATTGTCATGCAAGGATTCCATGTAAGATTTTTTTTATAACCCTTGTCGGGTGGACTTGATGAATTTTATGACATGGCATGATTGAAAGTATGTTGTATTTCAATTGCTTGCACTTTGTGAATAGCCAGAGCGACTATTTTATCGAGACCGACTAACCATTTCTAGCGATGCTTTGGCTGGAACACGAGCCAGAGGTGGATCAGAGTCTCTGGATGTGCAGATAGGAAATGATTTACTTTCCAGGTTAATCTCAAATAAAAAAATAATTTTATATTGTATTTGATACTTCGAATATCTTTCATTCATCTCGTTTCTGTTGCCATTGAATGTTAAATTCAATAATTCATTTAAGTTTTCAATTGATTTGCAGTCCTAAAGACCACCACGAGTTTACTGTAGTTCGGGAATATATTAGAAGAAAACTAGAGGCAAGTGATGCCTAACCTTCTGCAGATGTCTGCAGTACACCTCTGAGTAGTTACATTTTACATATATAAGAATATGTTAGGAGGCTGTGTTCTGTTTACTTGTATTTCCATTCTGCAAATGACAATAGTTATGTGCCTCTGTTTTGCTTTCCAGACTGTATGTTCCAGCATATTGATTGAACCTGAAAAAGCTCTACGAAAACTTCCAAGAGTTCAACATCTTTATGCTCGATTGACAGGGACATTGGAGAGAGAAGATGATGAGGTAACCTTTATACTTCTTCTAATACTTTATATTCATTATGGCTTTTACTTATCATGAGCATTGATAAAATTTTACCTCTGAAGTTCTTAGAGTTATAAAATAAACTCTATTGGTTGGTTCATTGCGTATTGCCTTAGCCGCTGTCCCATGATAAAACGGAAAGAAAAAGACAACAATAAATGCCAAACCATCTATAGCATTACTTTTTTTGGGGTTGTTTTGTCAATTGTTAGGATGAAGTAAGGTATACTCGAGAAGAGTTACGGTTACAAAATTTTTAGAGAAAGACGTGAGCATCAAGGTGTGCTGAACAATAACACCCCAAACGACTGGAAGAAGGTCAGGATTTCAGAGTGGAACTTGGAGAAATTTTTTATTAGTACTTTTGACCTCACTGCAGAGATGGAAATAGAATGAACAAGCAGAGGAGGATAAACTAGTCTCAAGCTGAGATAAAACCAACATCTGTATGTTGTAGACTAGGCTAACTTGGACCCCCGGTTTTAGTACGTGAATTTGACTATTTCTATACAACTTAACAAATCTCGGCGTTACCGCTATGATTCTGTTTCATTAAGTGCAAAAATTGCCAAATGCCTCCTAATAAACTGTTATTCTATGTCAACGATTGCAGAAACTACCAAAGGCTTCTTAATAAACAAAACAACATACAGGTAAAAGTAGAAAACCATCAGAGTTCACACTGCCTAGACACCACAAACTACCATGGACACTTTACCTTCAAACTAAAAGTTCTTTGAGATGAGATTTACAGGATAAGTTTCTTGAGTTCCAAAGTGATTGTGCTTTTCCTCACCGTGTAATAGTTATTGCATTGCTCCACTTTATGATAAAAATGTAATAATGACTGTTGGTCAATTTCATTAAATAGATAATCATCAAGATAAGAAGTTCTAATTATTTGTGTTGTTTCCAGTTTAAGATTTTGTCATCCCTTCATCCAACTCCAGCTGTTTGCGGGTTTCCTGCTAAAGAGGCACAGATTTTAATAGCAGAAACTGGTATATAAATATTGCTGCACTACTTATTTCTTAAATAATTTTCTTCACTTTTCTCTCGTATAGCTATTTTTTATCTGATTTAACTGTCGTTTTTGCTTTTTATTTACACCAAGAATTAATCCGCAGTTCGGGGATCTCACCATTAATCAACATATTTTGTAGAAATGTTTGACAGAGGATTATATGCTGGTCCTGTTGGATGGTTTGGCTGTGGGGAAAGTGAGTTTGCAGTGGGAATAAGGTCAGCCTTGGTTGGCAAGGTGAAAGCTAATAGCCTTTTCATCCTTTTATATTTTTCCATCTCTTCTACCGCAACGAGTTCTGTAAGGCTGTAAGTTAAAATAACCTATGGAAACAAGTGCAGAATTTAATTAGCATATAAAGCTAAATTTGTGCATTTTATATTGTGATTGTCCATATAATCTTAATGCAATATCATTAACGGGATAATATTAATTTGAATCTCAAGGGTTTTGGTGCATTGATTTATGCGGGAACTGGTATAGTGGAAGGAAGTAATTCTGCCCTGGAGTGGCAGGAACTGGAGCTGAAGACATCACAGGTTTGTGTTTTACTGCTTGTATGTGATAGAAATACCTCCATTGGATAACTGTATTGTCACATTTACAGTTATGTTTAAGAATATAAACTGATGGTAAATGTCTATTTCGTCCATTTTTTTTGTGCATTTTTTTTTTTCAGTTCACCAAATTGATGAAACCTGCGCCTCTGTTGTTGAGGGGAGAAAATAGAATAGTAGTACAAAAAGGTTAGTGGTTTTGAAATATGTATCGATGCTTTCACAATTCATTTTGGACAGATTATATGTTTTCCCCGTCCAATTCTTGGGCATTTAAGTATTTTTAAATTGCAAAATTTTTCTGACTGGAGTATTCTATATTCTACATTCCCCATCTTACGTGAAAAAAAAGAAAAAGAGAGAGCACATGTGCATATGCTACTTGTACACTAAAACTTAAATTCTCTTCTGCAATAGCAGTTTCAAATTAAAACAATTTGATTCAGAAATGTAACTGAGATTTGATTAAATGAGCAGAGAAAATTCGTCTGCTATGAATGTATTTCTCATTGATATTTAATGAACAAAGTTACAAAGGTATAAATACACAAAATTACAACAACTTTGCTTCTGTGGCAATAACCAAATTCTATTACATAACAAAAGGAATCATTCTTAACTTCCTTCAGCCTAGTGCTAGCACTCTCTTCATTCCAGCAGCTTCCAGATGTTCCTAGCATCTCTAGCTTCACGATGTTTTGATCTCCAACAGCCCCCCTCAAGGTGGTGAGTAGATATCCTCTACTCCCATCTTGGACAAATGCGAGTGGAACACAGCAAAGCATAGAGGTTTAGTAAAAATGTCTGCGATTTGTGAACCAGTTCTTACGTGCCTTGTAACAATACTTCCTTCTTGTATTTTATCTCGAATTAAATGGCAATCTAACTCAATATGTTTGGTTCTCTCATGAAATACCGGATTGGCTGCAATGTGCTCTGTATTCTGCCTCAGCAGACGACCTCGAGATGGTGCTTTGTTTCTTGGACTTCCAAGATATTAGTGAAGGCCCAATGAAGACACAATAACCTGTTATCGACCTCCTAGAATCTAGACATCCTCCCCAGTCTGAATCAGTATAAGCTCTGAGCTGTAAATCTGAAGTAGACGAGAAAAATAGTCCCAAGCCTGGTGCTTTCTTGATGTACCTAAGTATCTTGTGTGCAGCGTTCATATGTGACGTTCTGGGATCTTGCATATACTGACTTAGTAGGTGCACTGAATATGACAAATCAGGCCTGATGATGGTTAGATAAAGCAACCTGCCTACTAGTCTCCTATATGAAGCTGGGTCAAAAAGCACTTCCCCCTCATCTTTGGATAATTTGGCATTTTGATCGAATGGAATCTTGGCTGGAGTGACCCAATTGTTCCTGAATCTGATAGAATATCCATTACATACTTTCTTTGACAAATTTGAATGCCTTTAGTTGATCTAGTCACCTCTATTCCAAGAAAGTATTTTAGATTTCCTAGATCCTTAATTTTGAATTTCTCATCGAGGAGATCTTTGAGGGAATCAATTATCTTCACATTACTTCCCGCAGTTATTATGTCATCAACATAAACTAGTATGGCAGTGAACGAGTCATCTGTGCTTCTGGTGAACAAACTATAATCTACCTTAGATTGTTGGAAACTTTGTTCAATGATAAAAAATGATAACTTACCATTGGCGAGATGCTTGCTTCAAGCCATGCAAACTTTTGTTGAGCTTACAGACCTTTATCGCTTCAGCAGAGTACCCAGGGGAGGTCTCCATATGCACCTCCTCTTCTAGGTTTCCATGTAAAAATGCATTATTTACATCAAATTGATGTAAAACTTGGAATTTGGATGGTTAGGAGGCATATCCATGTACACTTCCTCATCTAGATCCCCATGTAAACATACATTATTTACATCAAATTGATGTAAATACTATCCTCTTGCAGCTGCTACAGCTATTAACGTTCTTACTGTCACCAATTTCGCCACAGGAGAAAATGTCTCGTGATAATCAACTCCTTCTAACTGAGTATATCCCTTTGCTACGAGCCTGGCTTTATGCCTTTCAATGCTTCCATCTGCATTAAATTTGATTTTGTAAACCCACCTGTATCCTATAGGAACTTTCCCAGATGGCAAGTCAGTCACGGTCCAGGTTTTATTTAACTCAAGAGCACATATCTCATCCTTCGTAGCCTTACACCACTCAGGAACTTTGACGGATTCTTGATAAGTTTTTGGTTTAGAATGCATAAGAATGGATGATGCAAAAACTTTATGATGTTTAGATAATTTGTGATATGAGACCTTTGCACATGGAGGGAAAGGAGTACCTGAAGTCACAGTCCCTTTCTTATTTTCAAACGTTTGAGAGTGGGTGAATAAGGCAGCTTGTTGGCAAATAAAATCCTGCAAATAAGTAGGTGTTTTCCTGCTTCTTTCAGACCTTCGAGGAACATATGAGTCATTGAGGAATTCAGGTTGAGCTGTAGGTTCAGGACTAGGCTGATCACTTCTGAGGTTTCTATGTTTTGATCAGTTTCTGGATTAGATTCTACTGGCAATTGAGGGTTAACAGGAAGAGGATAATCTAAGTTGTCATTGATAGGTTCTGGATAGGATAGTTGAATAGGAGTAGGTAGCTCATGATTAATATTTGAATCATCAACATAGTCCTGATTTTCGCAATTTTTGAAGGGGAAATTGTCCTCATTGAATTTGACATTTCTTGATATAAAAACCTTATTGTTCTCTAAATCAAGTAATTTGTATCCTTTAGTTCCCAATGGATATCCCAAAAAGACGCACTTCCTTCCCCTTGAGTCAAATTTGTGCCTATTTTGTGTGAGTGTGGTGGCAAAGGCTAGACACCCGAAGACTCTGAGGTTGTCATAGGCAGGTTTGTTTTTTAAAAGAATTTCAAATGGAGTCTTGTTATCCAGGATAGGCGTTGGAGTTCTGTTTATCAAAAAAAGGGCAGTTAGAATGAAATCACCCCAATATTTCATAGGCAATCCACTTTGGAATTTTAGTGCTCTTGCTACATTCAATATATGTTGATGCTTTCTCTCAACCACGGCGTTTTGCTGAGGAGTCTCAACGCATGAAGTTTGGTGCATTATTCCATTGCTAGAATATAATTGTCTTAAGTTTAACTCTCCTCCATTATCAGCCCTAATTATTTTAACATTAGAACAAAATTGTGTTTCAATCATAGTATAAAAACTTTGTAAAGTAGTTGAAGCATCGGATTCCATTTCCAGTAAATAGACCCAAGTGCATCGACTGCGATCATCTACAATAGTGAAAAAGTATCTTGATCCTTCATAAGAAACATCAGTACAAGGTCCCCACAGGTCACAATGAATTAAATCGAAGCAGTTCTCTGACCTATGATGGCTAGTATTGAAGGGTTTCCTATGAAGTTTAGCTAAGGGACAGATAAGACAGGTTCTGTGGTATGTTTGAAATTGGAACTTTGATGTAAGTTGGTAAAATGTAACCTAGGATCAGAAGGATGACCTAATCTGAAGTGCCAGGTCATAGCCTTCATGATTAGTTGCAGCAGACACAGTGATTTTGCTGGTGAGTTCTGGTAATTTCCGAATCAAGCTATCAGGAGCGATCTTATTTTGCACTAAATGATATAAGCCCCGCCTTACTTCACCCGGACCAATCGTCCTCCAAGTTGAAAGGTCCTGCATAAAACACAGATCAGATGAAAAAATGAGGCAACAATTTGATGGTTTAGCAAGCTTCCTAGCAGATATTAGGTTAAATGAAAAAGATGGAACAAAAAGATCGTCAAGAAGGTGTAAATTCTCTGTGATCCTAACATCTCCTATGTGAGTGGAAGTAGTGGCATCTCCATTAGGTAGTCTAATGAGATGTGAAACCTCTGATTTTATTTTTGTAAGGAATGAGAGGGAGTAGACCATATGGTCAGATGCTCCGGTATCTATGATCCAAGGAATGGATGGAGTCATCCTATTTTCATCATTGTGAGCTGATAGGCATATACAATTACCAGACATTTTGAGTGCATCAGTATTTTTGGTGGAAGAAAAATTCGAAGTATGGCTGGCAGAAAGGGAGTGTGAGTGGTTGATTGGTGGTTTGAGCAAGGCCATCAGTTGAGTGTACTGCTCTTAGGTTAAAGCAACCTGATTCCCATCACAGACTTGCTCATGTGTAGTCCTTGCAGCGTCTGTGTTTTGATAAGTAATAGCAGCATTTGCTTTGATCTTTCCATAGAGTTTGTGGCCTGGAGGACAACCATGAATCTTGAAACAATTGTTGATGGTGTGACCTGGCATCTGGCAATGTGTGCACATTGGTTTCTCTCTGTTTCCCTCAGGTTATTCCTTCTTGCCATCATTGCCATTCCATCAGAGATGGGCACATCAGTAGTGATGTCTCTCCTTTTCTCCTCCTGCTGTATGATGGAATAGACCTCATTTAGTTTGGGAAAAGGTTTTATCAGTAGAATCTGAGCCTTTATGTTTTTGTAAGAATCATTCAGCCCCATAAGGAACTTCATCACCCAATCCCTTTCTTGGTTGCCGATCACGGTTTGCAAACCTCCACAAGTGCAATTAGGGATTGACTCATAGTTCATGAGTTCATCAAGTAATGTCTTGAGCTTTGAAAAATATGAGCTAACAGAGTCCTGCCCCTGCATTAATGTTGTTATTCCCTGCTTGACTTAAAAACTTCTGGGAGCATTTTGTTGAGCCAGGCGCTGCTCCAATTCCAGCCAAAGCTGGTGTGCTGTCTCCGCAATGTTGTTATTCCCTGCTTAACTTCAAAAATTCTGGGAGCATTTTGCTAAGCCAGGCGCTGCTCCAATTCCAACCAAAGTTGGTGTGCTGTCTCCGCATAGAGTGTGCTAGCCTTGATGTCAACTGTCATGGTGTTTTGTAGCCAAGTGATGACTATGTCATTACATTAAAGCCAATGCTCTATCAGAGGGTTATCAGCCTCAGTAGGCTCGGCTCACTGCTCACAGATGCTTCCATCAATGAATCCAAGTTGTTTTTTATTCTAAGTGCCCTCTTCATCGATCTCGCCCAGGAGTGATAGTTGCTGGAATCAAGCAACTGAGTGACGAGAAAGCTCTAGAATTCTCGTTTGTCCCAATGAAATAGGGGCTATTAGAGAGAGAAGGATCATGAGTGTTTTGATTAGGATTTGAGTTTTGAAGTGGAATTTGGTTTTGATTTGTAACACTAACTCCTTCATTATCAGCCATTGCTCTGATACCATAAAACAATTTGATTAAGAAATGTAATTGAGATTTGATTGAATGAGCAGAGAAAATTTGTCTGCTATGAATGTATTTCTCATTGATATTTAATGAACAAAGTTATAAAGGTATAAATACACAAAATTACAACAACTTTGCCTATGTGGTAATAACCAAATTCTGTTACATAACAAAATGAATCATTCTTAACTTCCTTCAGCCTAGTGCTAGCACTCTCTTCATTCCAGCAGCTTCCAGATCTACCTAGCATCTGTAACTTCACGTTTTGATCTCCAACGCAAATGTTATAATGATTGAAGCTTGACATTTGTTATTTACGTCTTTATTTTCTTGAATAGTGTCAGTACCATCAAACGTAGAATGAAAATTATACAGTTCACTCTTAGCAGCAAAAAGTTTTTGAATCAAAGATCGTGGTAGTTCTCAGCACAGCTGATTTTATTTTTTGCAATTTCATTCAGTGGCGGATCGCTAAGGACAAGACAAAATATTTAATGGAGAGCATATTATGTCAAATGCTGATAAAGGAAGAAAGGTCAACTGAAAATTTATTTTTAGTCAATTGTGAAGAAAATAAGATGTCGTTTTTTATTTTTCGAATTTTTTTTTTCCCTTTTCTTTAGATGGCTGGTTTCTATTGTCTATTAACAATTAGTTATAGATTCCTGTGTTAGGTCCATTATTTTAAGTTATACGTTGCTTGTTCACTTATATTTGTAGAAGAGTTGGAACAATACTGTAAATAGATGTAATAAAATCGAACCGTGCTATAGGTACATGAGTTCAAATTCTTGTACCAGACAGAATACACACAGCAGTGGGTGGGTGGGTGTTGGGGGGGTTTTGCCAATATTTTAATTACATGGGGCCTACCCTCATGTGAGTGAAATTCAAAATTCTGTATCAATTCTTTTTTTTTCCCCCTGTACTCACAGCATTATTCAATAAAATCAGACACGTGTTTCCACTTATATTTCAGTGATTGGGCATATGTATACGAATAAGATGTCTAAACACGGTATTATTTGGTTTATAAGTTACAAGTAATCCATATGTTGATGCTATGTTAACCGGTCAAATGAAGTGTGTTGGAAGAAAATATGGATGAAACTTAAAAAAGAAGAATGCACATTTTTTTTTTAAATAGCTATGTTAAGAATTTTCTTCAGACATTCTTGTATGTCACTAATTCCACTCATCTGCACAAGTAGAGAGCTCTAAGCACTCATTGTTTCCCTCAGTCTTTTATTGTTATGTACCTGTATTTTTTGATTAGGGATATAAAAGTATAAAGAATTATCTCATTTAGAAATTTCAGTAGGGAAATAATTTATTTATTCATTTACATTTTCGTTTTCATTTCTTCATGGGAGACTGATACATGGTATTTATTAATGTTTTTATCTTCTCCAGCATGTGTATTTAATTTTGTTTGGGGTAATCTCAAGGGGGTATATTCATTTTGGACTTTTAAAGATTTTGGAGGATTTAAAAAGTTTATGCGCATTCAATTGAGACTTTTGAGAACTTTCTAAAAGTTTAAGTGTATTCAATTAGGAATTACTTTTAAAAAGTTTCTAAAAGTCACGGGGTATTCAATTGAAAGTTTTTGAAAGTCTCTATAAGTTATGAGGTATTCAATTGATAATGATTTTTAGGCTATTTATTATTTACTAGAGACTTTGGGTAGAAAATATAAAACTTTTCTCTCGTATAGCTATTTTTTTATCTGATTTAACTGTCGTTTTTGCTTTTTATTTACACAAAGAATTAATCCGCAGTTCGGGGATCTCACCATTAATCAACATATTTTGTAGAAACGTTTGACGGAGGATTATATGCTGGTCCTGTTGGATGGTTTGGCTGTGGGGAAAGTGAGTTTGCAGTGGGAATAAGGTCATCCTTGGTTGGCAAGGTGAAAGCTAATAGCCTTTTCATCCTTTTATATTTTTCCATCTTTCTACCGCAACGAGTTCTGTAAGGCTGTAAGTTAAAATAACCTGTGGAAACAAGTGCAGAATTTAATTAGCATATAAAGCTAAATTTGTGCATTTTATATTGTGATTGTCCATATAATCTTAATGCAATATCATTAATGGGATAATATTAATTTGAATCTCAAGGGTTTTGGTGCATTGATCTATGCCGGAACTGGTATAGTGGAAGGAAGTAATTCTGCCCTGGAGTGGCAGGAACTGGAGCTGAAGACATCACAGGTTTGTGTTTGACTGCTTGTATGTGATAGAAATACCTCCATTGGATAACCATATTGTCACATTTACAGTTATGTTTAAGAATATAAACTGAAGGTAAATGTCTATTTCGTCCATTTTGTTTGTGCATTTTTTTTTTCAGTTCACCAAATTGATGAAACCTGCGCCTCTGTTGTTGAGGGGAGAAAATAGAATAGTAGTACAAAAAGGTTAGTGGTTTTGAAATATGTATCGATGCTTTGACAATTCATTTTGGACAGATTATATGTTTTCCCGTCCAATTCTTCGGCATTTAAGTATTTTTAAATTGCAAAATTTTTCTGACTGGAGTATTCTATATTCTACATTCCCCATCTTCTGTGAAAAAAAAGAAAAAGAGAGAGCACATATGCATATGCTACTTGTACACTAAAACTTAAATTCTCTTCCGCAATAGCAGTTTCAAATGTTATAATGATTGAAGCTTGACATTTGTTATTTACGTCTTTATTTTCTTGAATAGTGTCAGTACCATCAAACGTAGAATGAAAATTATACAGTTCACTCTTAGCAGCAAAAAGTTTTTGAATCAAAGATCGTGGTAGTTCTCAGCAGAGTCTGATTTTATTTTTTGCAATTTCATTCAGTGGCGGATCGCTAAGGATAAGACAAAATATTTAATGGAGAGCAGATTATGTCAAATGCTGATAAAGGAAGAAAGGTCAACTGAAAATTTATATTTAGTCAATTGTGAAGAAAATAAGCTGTCGTTTTTTATTTTTCGATTTTTTTTCCCTTTTCTTTAGATGGCTGGTTTCTATTGTCTATTAACAATTAGTTATAGATTCCTGTGTTAGGTCCATTGTTTTAAGTTATATGTTGCTTGTTCACTTATATTTGTAGAAGAGTTGGAACAATACTGTAAATAGATGTAATAAAATCGAACCGTGCTATAGGTACAGGAGTTCAAATTCTTGTACCATACAGAATACACACAGCAGTGGGTGGGTGTTGGGGGGTTTTGCCAATATTTTAGTTACATGGGGCCCACCCTCATGTGAGTGAAATTCAAAATTTCTGTATCAATTCTTTTTCTTTCCCCCCTTGTACTCACAGCATTATTCAATAAAATCAGACGTGTTTCCACTTATATTTCACTGATTGGGCATATATCTACGAAGAAGATGTCTAAACACGGTATTATTTGGTTTATAAGTTACAAGTAATCCATATGTTGATGCTATGTTAACCGGTCAAATGAAGAGTGTTGGAAGAAAATATGGATGAAACTAATAAAAGAAGAATGCACTTTTTTTTTTCAATAGCTGTGTTAAGAATTTTCTTCAGACATTCTTGTATGTCACTAATTCCACTCATCTGCACGAGTAGAGAGCTCTAAGCACTCATTGTTTCACTCAGTCTTTCATTGTTATGTACCTGTATTTTTTGATGAGGGATATAAAATTATAAAGAATTCTCATTTAGAAATTTAAGTTGTTATAGAGGGAAATAATTTATTTATTCATTCATTTACGTTTTCGTTTTCGTTTTCATTTCTTCATTGGAGACTGATACATGGTATTTATTAATGTTTTTATCTTCTCCAACATGTGTATTTAATTTTGTTTGGGGTAATCTCAAGGGGGTAATATTCATTTTGGACTTTTAAAGATTTTGGAGGATTTAAAAAGTTTATGCGCATTCAATTGAGACTTTCAAAAACTCTCTAAAAGTTTAAGTGTATTCAATTAGGAATTACTTTTAAAAAGTTTATAGAAGTCACGGGGTATTCAATTGAAATTTTTTAGAAGTCTATAAGTCATGAGATATTAAAATAGACAATGACTTTTAGAGAACTCTCTACTTAATGGACTTTTGGTGATTTTTTTGTGAAAAATATAAATAGCAAATCTCAAAGAAGACCTCTCATATGCTCTGAGATTTGTGAGGATTCCAGGGCAAAAAAAAAAATCATTTTTCTTTCAATTCTAGGATTTTTCCATATCTCTTCAATTTATTTTCTGTAATCAATTTATGAATATTCTATATGTAGATAATTACTTTTGAATTGAAATTATATGCAATTGTTTCAAAATGTAGAATTCCATTTTCAGTTATGAACATTTTGTGTTCTTATAATTTATGTTAATTCCGTGAAATTTTTTTGATTATGTTCTTAGAAATCGGTGTAAATTTTTTTTTAATTATTATTTTATTTGTGTCAAAATTTAATGATTGTACCGTGACTAATGACTTTACCCAAGAAGATTTTGTGGGTATCATGGTTCTTGAAAATGTTAATTAGGTAGTTAGAAATATTATAATTTTGAAGATATATAATGAATTTGCAAGTTGAAAAATCTATAAAAGTTTTTAAAAATATTTAATCAAAGTCTAAAAGTCCATGTAAGACTTTTATTAAATTCTTAACAAATCTATAGAAGTTATTTGAGTCCATAAAATCTACAGAAATCACCCACTTAAAAAAGTCTAGAGAAATCTTTAAAGTACCAATTGAAACATTGAGAAATCACCAGGGAAATAAAAACCTGGCATTTAATGGAAAATGAGAAGTCGGAATGGAAGAGAGAAACAACACTCAGAATTGATAAGATGGTTTCTCATTCCACTAAGTGGTCGGCTATCATGTATCGACTCATGAATCTATGGAGAGTTGACACATTGGTTGAGGTGTAAAATCTTGTCAAGATGACTACAGTTGATTCTATCAGCGATGCAGCAAGTATTTTTATGAGAAGATACAGAAGTTTCTCATGTAAAGTAGTAATCAACATTTAAAACATCAATTTAGGCTAATAAGGAGACCAATTAGAGGTGTATGATTCTGCTGAACCAATCAGTTAAGGGAAATGGGAATCTAATACACAAAAGAGGCACTATACACAAAGAAGACACACCAAATCAAATATTCTCCAAAATAGAGAAAATGCAGAACCAAATCCAAGTCATACAGCAGCTACTGTGGACATGTTCCTATTCAATCACCTGCCCTGGGAAAATGTTCATCAATACAAGCATAAGTTCAAAGACCCTTTATCTTAATAGGATAAGATTCCAATATATTTACAAAAGGTGAAAACAACGAATAAAAATCAGACTCTGAAGCTTCCTAGTTATGCAAAACTTGTGTGCTAGAAGCCAAGAAAGAATCAAAGCCTTTACTAGAGGATAAAATGGATAAGCAGATTGAATATGGCGTACTATCTCCTTTTTTTACTCCTGCCATGTGCTTGGATTGGGGGCTTTAGCGTTGACCCTTAAGAAAAAAATTCCGAGCCTTGTTTTTGAAAGGTTCTATGTTTAGTACCACTTATTTGCAGACACGTCGTCTACTTGTAAACTTGCTAAGAATCAAAGGTAACATTTAGCTTTGCCTGGAAATGGATAGGTACAATGCATAAAAAATATAACAGCATTGTCTGTCACTAGTAATACAGTCTCATAAGTTATATTCATCTTGAATATATCGTAATTATAAGTGAGATTTGGCATGCTCGTAGCTCATTTGATACTGGATAAAACAAATCTTGTTTAACTAGACGACTGGCCTCACTGAGGCTCAGTATTATGTTTTTCCTCTATATTTGAATTTGCAAGCAATCTTGTTTTTCACAGATGTGGTGTTGACAATAGGTTTTGAAGAATAAGAACCCTGAATCAATAAAGAAGATGCTTTTGGTTCAACTTTTTTCAAAAAGTTACTGGAAATTTTTGACAAAAAGGAGTATGCCAATTGGGAGATAGAATACTGTGCTTTTAGCTATATGATTCTACTTGCTCCAGTTTATAACAGTTCAAAAACAAGATAAGAAGATACAATACGAAATAAGTTATTTGTTAAGTCAGTATATTTGAATTGAATGCCTAATAGCAGTCTCGACAATCCATACATTCCTATCAGTGTCGGACAACTATACCTCGAGTACACGTTTTAAGAATGTTAATGATAACAAAGTTAATAATGTCCACCATTAAGCTTAACCATAGTACATGAACAGAGGAAAGTGATGGTGGTTGCAGTCTTTCTAATCAAAGAATAAAATAGATGGTCAGATGGTGATTTAATTGTCCCTAGAGTCACATTTATTCTTTCTTTAAGCTGTGTGACATTCTATGTCATAATGTTTGTACAGTATGGATTAGATCCAGCACTTTTTTAAATTTTCATGAAACTAAAAATGGGAGCATAACTTCAGACAAAATTCAAGTCTGCCTTCTAAAGTCATAAGTTTTAGATTGCTGATTTCTATTTATCAAGTCTGAGGAGGAGGAAGAATAAGGGCTTATTTCAATATTGAAGTCATGGAAATGCGATCACAACCCGAAATAGGTGATCAAACTGTTAAGGAAGTTGGCCTGTCTGAATGTCCAATCAATTGCTATGCCCGACTGCATTTTGAAATGAACCAACTAGCTTCGGGTTTCGAGTGACATTTCATCTTTAATTACAACTCATTCGTTAACTCTTCAATGTTAGTCGATTTAGACTTCTATTTAATTTCACCCAAGTTACAGTTATGCATAAATTGACAATTAAGGACTATTCAAGATTGTCAATTAACTTAATCGATAATTAAAGTTAACAAACACATCTTTCTTCTTTTAGGAGCATACTCAGAGTAGGGGTACCTATTATGACCTTGACCCGCCTACTCGAGTCTTGTATAGATATGCGGGAAGTAGTTCATATTCTCCTCAATTTCGGTTAACTACTTACGATAAATTGACATTTAACGTAAAACTTTAAAGTTTTACAAGGATAATCTTAGTACGCCCAACAGAAAAAGGTGGCAAAAACCGAAAAGTGGAAAGAAGGAAAACTTCACACGAGAGAATGGAATCCAATCTCTCTCTCTCTCACACACACACAAGTAGGAGAGAGAAAGCACCACTAACCACCTCAGACATTCCTTCCATCTTAATAAGGAGCACAACAACAAAAAATAGCCACCAAAACACACCAACAATGAAGAAAAAAGCAAGAAAACAAATTATTCAATAGGTTGATATTAATTGAAAAAGCTCACACTCAAAGAGCATGCATAATACTCAAAGAAACACCCACAAAATAAGCATTTCGAAGTCCACACCTCACTCTCCCATTCCACCACCACTTTACCACCGTCGCCGCATCAACATTATGACACCATGACAATGTCTGCCGACCACCCTCCTCAACAACCCATCAACCCGAATCCGCCCACCACCGTCCGAAAACTTGTAGTGGAAGTGATTGAGGCGCGGGACCTTCTTCCTAAAGATGGACAGGGAAGCTCTAGTCCGTATGTGATCGTAGATTTTAATGGGCAAAAGAAGAGGACATCGACAGTAGAAAGAAATCTCAACCCAGTATGGAATGAGGCCGTGGAGTTCTTCATGTCGAACCCGAAAACCATGGAGTTTGAGGAGCTATATGTTGAAGTTTATAATGATAAGAAGCTTAGCAATGGAAATGCTAGGAAAAATCATTTTCTGGGGAGGGTGAAGCTGTATGGAACGCAATTTGCGAAGAGGGGTGATGAAGGATTAGTGTATTTTACACTGGAGAAGAAGAGTGTGTTTAGTTGGATAAGAGGAGAATTGGGATTAAAAATTTATTATTATGATGAGATTTTAGTGGAGTTGGCGCCACCAGAAGAGCAGCAGCCACTGCCACCGCAAGAGCAGCCGCAGGCCGAGGAGGTGACCAAGAAGCCCGTTGTAATGGTTTATGAGGAGCCACCGCCGATTGCGATGCCAACGCATATTGCAAAGGAGACGCGGGTGCCTTCACTACCAGTGCATCAGTATGAGCCTCCAGGGGAGACGATAATTGGGCCTCCTGTTGAAGGTATTCCGGCGCCAGAGTTCTGTCCAGGAGTGAGAAAAATGCAGATGGCCGGGGGGAGAGCGAATATTTTACGGCGACCTGCGGATGGAGATTATTCCCCGAGAATTATCTCTGGGAAGTTCGCCGGAGACACGTCGAAGAGAATTGCGGCCTATGATTTGGTCGAGCCTATGCAGTATTTGTTCATCAGAATCGTTAAAGCACGCGGGCTTTCCCAAAATGAAAATCCTTGTGTGAAGATTCGTACTTCAAGCCATATTGTACAGTCCAAACCGACGATGTATCGACCAAGCGATTCATCTGCAAATCCTGAGTGGCACCAAGTATTTGCCATAGCCTACAATAAAGAAAATACTGCAAAGTCCACCCTTGAAATATCCATCTGGGACGGCTCGTCGGAGAAATTCCTCGGTGGCGTATGTTTCGATCTCTCTGACGTGCCGGTCCGGGACCCGCCGGATAGCCCGCTGGCCCCACAATGGTACCATCTCGAAGGTGGTGCAGCCGATGATCAAAACAGAGAAGTTTCAGGTGATTTACAGCTTTCTGTTTGGATTGGAACTCAGGCAGATGATGCATTCCCTGAATCTTGCAGCCCTGATGCTCCATTGCCACACGTATCTTATACACGCCCAAAAGTTTATCAGTCTCCAAAACTTTGGTACTTGAGAGTGACAGTTATTGAAGCTCAGGATCTTCATTTAATGCCGAATCTTCCTTCGTTAACTGTGCTGGAGATTCGTGTGAAGGGACAGCTCGGGTTTCAGTCAGTACAGACTCGACGGGGTTGTATGAGCCACCATACTTCTGCATTTCACTGGAATGAGGATCTAATCTTTGTTGCAGGGGAGCCTCTTGAAGATAGTCTCATTTTGCTAGTGGATGATAGGACGGGGGAAGACCCGATGCTGCTTGGGCACGTCCAAATTCCTGTCGGGTCAATCGAACAACGATTGGATGAGCGCCATGTGCCGGCAAAGTGGTACAATCTCGAAGGTGGGCCAAGTGGTAACGGATCCTATTGTGGGAGGCTACATTTGAGGATGTGCTTGGAGGGAGGTTACCACGTTCTTGATGAAGCAGCTCATCTTTGCAGTGATTTTACACCCGCTGCTAAGCAATTATGGAAGCCTACAATTGGGATTTTGGAGCTTGGAATTCTCGGTGCTCGTGGCCTATTGCCGATGAAATCCAAAGACAATGCAAAAGGGTCTACTGATGCTTATTGTGTTGCGAAGTATGGGAAGAAATGGGTTCGAACTCGAACTATTACAGATAGCTTTAATCCAAGGTGGAACGAGCAGTACACATGGCAAGTGTACGATCCTTGTACGGTCTTGACCATTGGTGTGTTCGACAATTGGCGCATGTTTGTTGAGGCAGGGGAGGAGAAATCAGATTATTGTATTGGAAAAGTCCGTATACGGGTTTCTACGTTGCACACTAACAAGGTGTACATGAATTCGTATCCTTTGATGGCGTTGTTGAGAACAGGATTAAAGAAGATGGGGGAGATTGAATTGGCGGTTCGGTTTGCATGTCTTTCGTTGTTGCCCGATACGTGTGGGATATACTGGCAACCTTTGTTACCACGAATGCATTATCTCCGCCCACTTGGTGTCGCTCAGCAGGAGGCACTACGTGGTGCTGCTACTAAAATGGTGGCTACCTGGTTGGCTAGGTCAGAGCCACCATTAGGACCGGAGGTGGTTAGATACATGTTAGACGCAGACTCGCATACTTGGAGTATGCGGAAAAGTAAGGCTAATTGGTTCCGGATAGTGGCTGTGCTTTCTTGGGCAGTCAGATTGGCAAAATGGTTGAATCATATACGAAGGTGGACGAATCCGGTTACAACCATATTAGTCCATGTTCTATACTTGGTTCTAGTATGGTACCCGGATTTGATTGTCCCAATGGGATTCTTGTATGTGTTTCTAATAGGCGTTTGGTATTATCGATTCAGGCCAAAAATACCAGCAGGCATGGATGTCAAAATATCTCAAGCTGCAACAGTCGATCCAGATGAACTAGACGAGGAATTTGATACAATGCCAAGTTCAAGACCACCCGAAATTATTCGTGTTCGTTACGACAGATTGAGAATATTAGCAGCAAGATTTCAAACAGTTTTGGGAGATTTTGCAACACAAGGTGAAAGGGTCCAGGCCTTGGTAAGCTGGAGGGACCCTAGTGCCACAAAATTGTTCATCGGATTGTGCTTTGCAATCATGGTGGTTTTGTATGCTGTGCCGCCCAAAATGGTGGCGGTGGCACTCGGATTCTACTTCCTCCGCCACCCGATGTTTAGGGACCCCATGCCCCCTGCTAGTTTGAATTTTTTCAGAAGGCTTCCCAGTTTGTCTGATAGGTTACTTTAGAGTAGGCCCAAATTTAGACAACATTTTTTCACATTGTGGAATCTCGGTCATGAAATGATTCTCGGTGTGGAAAAATTGTTGAATATTTTCTTTCCAGAAAAGGGTTTTGAATATTAATAATAATAACCTCGGAAGAAGTGAGAAGGACAATGAAAATTATGGCCTTTTTGCATTGGAGTTCATTGACTATTGTTGAAATAAGGTAAAGGGAGAAGGAATAAGTTGGGTAGAAAAATTTAAAATGACGGAATTCATGATGTAATTTCGTCCTCTTTAAGGCATTGATTTGTAATAATATTTCCTTTGCTATATGCACAGTTTTCATTATATGAGCCGAGTTTTGCGATATTTAATTGATAAGCTAGTCCGTTATTTGGAAGTTGAATAAAAGAAGTTCTATCACAAATAAAATTTGAACATGACTGACAGATTGCACACTTCCATTAGAATCCCAAAGATAAACATTTCAGGTACATAAATTCCCTCGTCATCAATGCATCTAGGAACAGTTTTATATGCAAAATTATATGCTAATTACTGTACTTCAGGTAAATATTTGGACAAACAGCGTAATCTTGCTATACCACAGAGGCTTCTGCAGGGTCAGGCCCGGATTTCTGTGCGCCCGCCCAACATAGATTTACACCACTGTGTAAGCGTTGAAGCATTGATCTGTGTTTGCATCAATGTGCACAGATATGTACAAGCACACTAAACCATTATAATTACTATTGTCTCAGCTTATCTTTTTTTCTATTTGTGTGGTTAGTCTTTAGAGGAGTTAATCAAGAGTCCGCGCTCACTCATACTTAGGATGGAAAAAACGGCAGAATCAGAAAAACATGACACTGAAACCAAAATCGAAAAGGAAGAGAAAGAGAAGCACGTGGATGATGATGAGAAAGGAGAAAAAAGTACAGAGAAAGACAGAGACAAGAAAAAGAAAGATAAGGGTGACAGAGAAGAAGAATCCTGAAGATAAGAAGGATCCGGCTAAACTAAGAGCCAAATTGGAGAAGACAGATAGCAAAATGCAGGCTCTGGTGATTAAGAAAGACGAAATTTTGAAGCACGTCAATGAATGCAGCAAATCTAAGCGGCCCACCTGTCCCTTCTTGAGATACTTTTCTAATATGTTTGACATTACTTGACAATATATGTGAGATCAATTAAGTTACTTGTTCATATGATATATACACCTTTGTAGACAGATGATGAGCTGGCATGCATTGTGGCCCTTGATTTGAATAAATGTCAAACTAACTGCACATGTAACATAACTGATGTGGGATTGATGCCACGGAATGGCTTTGGTTATTGTGTTGTTGGGTGTAGGATAAGAAAGTGCACAAATGTCAATGGTTATATAATCAGAATTCAGACATGGACCAGACTCTGAAAATGATGCATAAGCTTTATTCAATGGTTAAATTGCTTGTAAAATGAGAATCATTATTGAATTTGCATCATGAAGACAACATAACAGTCAATACCTCAAGTTTCCATTTTTCATTTGATAGATTTCTAAGCAATCTTTGGCGAATGTTGAAGGACTATTGAGTGAGCATTTGAACAGGCTGATTTCATTCATTAACATAGCTTGCTGTACTGTAAAACGAACAACCACAATCACAACTAATTCAAAAATTAGGTTCAACTATATAATTCCATTAAATTGATTTTTTTAATACTTAATCGAATTAAACTGCTTTATTTGCAATTAATTATATTCGTTTTACAAATAATTTTATATATATGCAAGGTTGAAAACATCTATTTTTCGTATTCATGGTTAAAACAATTACTCCAGTATACCAATGTAAGTATTTTTGCTTCTTGAAATCATATGGAAATGGTCGCTTCAACTTGAAATCACCTCTTATTTGTCGTTAAAAGTGTTTTTTTTTTTTTTTTTT